TATTTATTATTAATTACATTTAGGCCTAAAAAAAAAATTAGGTAAGATATACATATATTTTTTCCCAAAAAAATATATAAAATATATTTATATAACAAAAATAATTATTGAAAAAATACATTAACATTTTTCTATTTACTACAACACAAAACAAAAAGCATAATTATTAAATATTAAATTGAGCATTTAAAAGCAAACAAAAAAATTTGTGCTGTCAAACGATAATCGTGATTAATCGCATCCAAAATAAAAGTGCTTGTTTACATATATGTGTCACGATGTGGGTAGATGAGGCACACAGCGAAGGGGTAATCCAAAGGTGAGTCTTTAATTATCAATCCAAGAGGGTAATACAGAATAACAGGAGATATGCACCACAACGTAACTTTAAAGCAAGACAAGGGAACTGAGGAAAACACAGGGTATATGAACACATGGAACATAATCAGGGAGAACAGAAACAGGTGAGGAGTAAATCAATCAAAAAAGGTGAACAGAATAAACGATGATAAACTAAATGAGAACAGGAACTGAACCAAATAGGGGCAAACAGGAACTAAACAGAAACGAAACATGTGACAGATATCGCCCCCCTCCGAAAGGCGCGACCTCGCGCCACATAACGTCGAAGGGTGGCAGGGTGTGCGCCTTTGGAGGTCCCACAGGACAGGCTTGGACCGGACACCTCCAAGGCGGTACCAGATCCCATGGCGGATCCTCCGTGGCATTAGCCGGCTCGGCCACGGGTATATGCCCCCCCAAAAAATTATTGGGGAAAACTAGGAATCCTGGGGGGTGCTCTGGAGGAGCGTGCACTTGAGGGAGCTTTCGAGGAGCGGGCACTTGAGGGAGCTCTGGCGGGCGCTTTCGAGGAGCCGGCTCTGGGGGACGCTCTGGAGACGAAGGAGGGCTGGACGGGACCAGTGGAGGCGAAGGAGTCTCAGGAGATGAAGGAGAGCTTTCCAGAGTGGATTCTGGGTTGAGGATTGGAGCCGAAAACTCCGGAGGCAGTGCCATGTCCAAGAGCGTAGAGCCAGCAGCGGCCGGCGGGCCTGAGTCCTGAGCGGCCGGCAGTTTTGACTTCGTAGCCGCGGTCGGCGGGCTTGACTGAGGAACGGCCGGCGCTCCTGGGCTGAGGACTATGGTGGAGCTTCGGAGAGTTCGGGGACACCCTAGCTTCAGTAAGGGGGCGGAGCCATTGGTGAGGAATGTGGGAGCTCCCGGCGTGAGGTGAGCTGGGGAGACACGGCATGCTCCTGAGGGTGCTGGATAAGGAGACTTGAGATTCGTCTTTACTACTTTCACCTCTAATTCGGAACCATTCAAACAGAGGATAACATTAATCAGCTCGATTAAAGGGGTGGTTCATTGCCATTTCACTTTTTTAACGTTAGTGTGTAATGTTGCTGTTTGAGCATAATCGCGATTCTGTCTTCTAAGGATTCTAATGGATTCACAAGTTTCAAAATCAATGTTCTAAAGCAGCGGTTCTTAATACTGTTCCTCGCGTCCCCTGCTCTGCATCTCTCCCCCTCCCCCTTTTTTTATAATATAAATTAAATGAATATATAGACATGAAAATACATGTAAATATTTTCAAAATATATACTGTATGTGTGTGTATTTGTATATACTGTACATAAATATTATACACACATATATTATGCAAACAAAAACGTTTATTTTGTATGCGATTAATCGCGATTAATCGTTTGACAGCACTAAACAAAATTCAATTGTTAAGAAAAATAAAACTTATCCTAATATAAGCAGTTTTGCTTCTCAAGTAAATGTATTTGGATATTTATACTGGAAATCAAAACAAATATACTGATTAAAAAATACAGAAAGTGGTGAAGAAATTTCTCATTCTTTCATTCATTTAAAAAAATTCAATCCTTGTTTTAATTAAATTTTGGTATGACAAATACACCATGATGTATAATTACTTTAAATATATATCTGAAATGTGAAAATATTTGTCATTAAAACAATGTCTTTATGCAAAACATAATTTTTTTATTTATTTTAATACAAATTCTAAGCGAAAAGTGTAATTTAGTCTGTTGCGTCAATGACCTGATGATCATGTTCTCCGATATGATTTGAGATCCAAAGAAAGAGCATCAAAAAAATATAACCATCTGTACAGAAAGTAATTTGATTAGTCACAAAAATGGAACAGAATCTGAAATATTTCTGCTTTATTTTGTCCCATGTTCTAAATACAAGAAGTTATCTCAGACTTTTGGATCTCTGTATATGTCATATGGATATAGAGTCACCATGGTCTCTTTCTTTCTCTTTTCTTTGCAGAAATCCCACATTCTGTGCCAGGAACGGTTCTGGTCAGTGATTGAGTCGTCATCGAGGACGGTTTGGCATTCTTGTGGTTTGGTGTGTGCGTATGCTGTGAGAACCTGCTCTGAGGTATGTGATCGCTCATCGCTATGAATGGAAGCTCTAGAAGTGAAGTGTGTATTACCTGTTTGTTTTCAAAAGCTTTTGTCCTTTCGACTCCCACACAAACCTGATGAACCAGAGGACAAGCGCGTGTTTATCTGTCCAGAACACCAAACAGTAACCATAACAAATGCTTTTTTTAAATAAAAGGTGGAAATGATATTTGAAAGTAATTGTAAAACATTTTATACCAACAGTAAACATCCCTATAGTTTATCAGGATGATCAAACACATTAATTAAAATATGCAAAATTTGATTTTAACTTAAATTTTATGCAAAATAAAATTCTAACGTTTAAAGTCGGTAAGCTTTTTAAAGTTTTTCTGCTCCCCAAAGCTGCATTTATTTGATCAAAAATACAGTAAAAATAGTGGAATATTATTACAGATTTAAATAACTGTTTTCTATGTGAATATATGTTAAAATGTAATATATTTCTGTGATGCGCAGCTGAATTTTCAGCATCATTACTCCAGTCTTCAGTGTCACATGATCTTCAGAAATCATTCTAATATGCTGATTTGCTGCTCAAGAAACATTTCTGATTATTATCAATGTTGAAAACAGTTGTGCTGCCCAATATTTTTCTGGAAACTGAGAGACATTTTAAATTTCAGGATTCTTTAATGAATAGAAAGTTCAAAAGAACAGCATTTATTTCATTTTTTTAAAACCTCATTAGATGAAAATTTTAAACTTAGTAACATTAAATGTCTTTACTGTCACTTTTGATCAATTTAATGAATCTTTGCTGAATAAAAGTATTAATTTCAAACTTTTGAACATTATATGTTTAAAGGGGTCATATGATGTTGCTAAAAAGAACATTATTTTGTGTATTTGGTGTAATGAAATGTGTTTATGCGGTTTAA